AATATTTTAATTAGACTCGAATCGCTGGACAATTCTATCAGACACAAAGAAGTTTTCATGATGCTGCTAAACTTCGAGATAAAGATTCATCAACTACATCAATATGGATATATTTAATTTACTTTACTTTATTTGCAGTCTTAACTATTGGTGGATATCTATTATACCAAACAAAAATGGAATTAGATCAAAAGAAATTTATTTGATTACAATTTATAAAATTTAGTTATACAAGATTTGAGTGACATAATATTAAATGGATCACGGAAGACGTTGGGATCATTCTTTTTATGCCACATATACGAGGATAAACCATTAATGAGAACAAATATCTTTTTATAAGTTACATTACATAATAGTTATGGTATATTTGAGTGATAATTGTTGATATTTATTAATCGCTACCGATTTTTTTTAAATTTTCCATCTTGGTCGTTTCGACTGGTGATCTATTATTCGCAAAAAAAAAAAACTTAGAACGGAAATCCAAGTAATAATATATATATATATATAATGTGTTTAAAATCTTTACCCAATAAATATCAATTCTTTAAGAGAAGTTGTCTCTTTATCTCCTATATTATCCTCGATAAATAACTGCCAATAAAAAAAATAAAATCAAAATAATGTTTCCTGACTAAATTCAAGATTAAGAAGCACCAATGTTACAATGTCAACTTACAATAATATTTGTCACACTTTGAAACTTAACAAATCTTAATGGGATGATAGCATTTTCTTCGTAATCTTTCGGAGTCAATTGGAGTAATTGTGTCTCCTCGGTAGAATCCGTTTCATCGAAGCCGATATTGATTCTGTTAGCATAAAGTTTGATCGTCTTTGGAGCTTGTTCTGTGACAATAATAAGACATTAATATATAACATAAATTTTACTTGACTTAATTGTTTGATATGATTAGTTAAATAACGAAAATCGCGAACAAACCAATATCCTTCGCGACAAGCTTTATTGAGTGAAGTTTAACAGCTTGATTAAAGGGAACAGATATCAAGAGCTGTTCATCAACATCTGATTCAATATATGTGTCACCTTTAGTGAAAATACTCTTAGTTACGTGATTTTCGTTTAGGTTAAGACAATCAACTTGATTGAGTGTAATAAATTCATTTATATCCGTCTTTATAAAAAAAAAAATAAAATAAAAAGTTTTTTCATTAGGAACAAAACGTGATAATATATAACAATACATTAACTATTTACATTTTCATCTTACTTACATGTCCCTGAATATTCAGTGAACTCGAACCACTTTCTTCAGGTGATCCTACATGCTGCGCAACGAGCCTTCTGAGTTCTTCAACGTTGGCGCCTATCAATTGCGCAACTTGCTGACCGTTCTTGAAAAACTTGAATGTTGGCCTAAATTTTATACGGAACAGCCCATTCATGTGACAAAATAACCGCAATGTAACACCAATGCAAGGGACAATGTAGTAGCGCTAAGTAGCGCTAACAGCGCTAAAAGGTCTCTCTAAATTTAGTGGTTCTAGTGAATTTGTAATTTGTAAAAATAGTAACAGAGATCGATAGTTCAAAGGGTATAAATAGACTTAGAAATTGCTCTTGTAAAAGACAGAACTCGAAGTTCCAACAACTTGACAATAAATAAAGAGT